CACATGATTGGTAATGAGAGCTTCCATTTCATTTTTTGAAATTGGGGCGTTGCCAATACTGGTCTTTACCTTTAAACAGAAGACTCCTATAATTGAAAGGGATTTTGTTTTGTTTGTTTGTTTTAAACATTATACTGTAGGCCCCAGTACACCTGGCACTTTCTGTCAAATTTCTGCAGATATCATATTTTGAAAACCACCTGTGATCAAGGATTATCAAGAGGATATGAACAGTAGGCAACAGAAATTATCAAAATCATTATTTATATTTTAAATGCCCATAATAAATATACATGTATCATGTACTCTGTACATGTACACTGTTAAAGCAGATTTGTTTTTTTTTAATCCACATCCCCCCCCCCAAAAAAAAAAAAAAAAAAAAAAATTAAAAACATATTTTTAAATTATCCAGTGTTGAGCCCTGTCATGCTTTTGTCCTAGATTGCATTTAATATAACAATATTCATCCTGTACTGTAGGCCAATATATGACTGACTATCATCATATCGGCCATTGTTTCTTCATTTACGTTTCTTCAATACAATAATTTTCCCTGTCGTGTAAACACGCCCTCATGTTTAACTCCTTGCCTGGAAGAAGGTTGTGCACTTGGTTTCTAGGAAATCATCCTTTGAAAGACTTCTCCAGGGATGCAAGGATCCTTGGTATAACTACAAGACGATAGTTATCAGGATGTCTGGCGATAACCATGCCATGATTTAAAACCCAACAAGTGGTTCACTGGCACGTCTGGTGATGTGCACAAGGTACCAGAACTGCAGAGATGGAATCAAATAATTGATTATGACCCTATAGCCTGGTGCCTGGGATTTCAGACTTCGACTGCCTTATATATTCCCATATGAGTAAGATTCATTGTTCCGTTTAAAAAGGCCAACTCCAATGTATATTACCGGTATAGGCCTTCTAAACTATCATAAACTCTGTGTATATTCATGAACTGTCTGTTCAACCGATTTGGGTGGTATGGAATTACCTGACAAAAGTTAAATGGTGTCTTTAATGAAACTCATGCAGCTATAAAGCAGTTGAAAAGTTCATATCTATTGGAAAACTCTGAAGATACTTAGTTTATAAATAGGTAGATTGCTGAGAAACGGACATTGTGTCGCCTCAGGTCATTTGTATCAAAAGCACCTGAAAAGGCGAGACCGTTACAAACGCGAATACCGGTAGGTGGACCGTTAGGGGTGCTATTCAGTGAAAGTCCACATTGGAGGTAATTCTATTTCTATGCTGAGTGAGCAAAACTCAATGGTCCTAGGTCTAAGTCCCATCTTGGATCTTTCCCACATGGACCAGCATGTGCCAAGAGTACAGGAGACAGATAGTCTACAGGTCTTTAGAAAAAGATAGAAATGGGTGCTTAAACTCTCACTTTCTTCAGCTTTTACAAGCAAAAATCCATATCATCGTACATGTACAATTTTCAAGTTGGGATCAGCTTTCACTTGTACTGAAGCATTGTCATGTGTTCTATGGAAGATGACAAAGCCAAGAATATCTTTTATAGAAGAAGAGGGCAGAGTGTCTCCTATAAGAGCACTATCCCATGGTGAGGGCATCCCTGCTAGTCTGAGTATACATGTACCGGTATGTCTGAAGTGGTTTGAAGATATCTTACAGAAAATCATTAATCAAAGGGTATTTACAGTATCTACAAATTAGTGTACATTAAGCCTAGTGTACATGCATATTTTTTGTATAGATAAGGACCAATTAAGACACCAAATTGGACAGATGGTCTGTTCAGAGCCATGCAGAAGGGCATCAACTCTGTGTTAAAGTACGAGGTTTAATGCCCTTCTGGTTCCAAACAGATAGAATACATGATAGGTCTAATTCTCCTGAAACACATGCATGTTTCAGCCTCTGTTTTAGCAATAAATTTCATTGAATCAGAAAAACGTTTTCTTGGTTGACAAGATAAAAGATACCGTACTCTACATATTGTCTACTAGTAATTTAAGACCATGCAATTGAGCACCATTTAGGGAACTTAAAGCCCATCTGTACTAGTTTACAGGAGGGATTAGACCACCCTACAAGGTCACTGACAGGTGGTTATTTCATCAAATCAGCTCTCACTTAACATAAGAAAAAGAGGACCATGGGGGACCAACAGGCACCGATTAGGCATACTTTGCTATATAGAGGGCGCAAGTAGCTATAAGTAGTGCAATGGGGCTTTAAAAGATGGAGGTTACAGTAGATCAAGGAAGCTGACAACACTCCAAGGGATCACACACATTCGGGTCACGACTTTCAAGTATTTGCACTTTTTCATTGATTTTCACTTAAGACTACTAAACACCCATTTCATTATCATTGCAAGATAAAAGAACCTCTGGTCGTTTGTATTTTGAGATACAAGCAGATATCGACCACCTTGCATCAAAACGTGACCCCTTTCTGTAATTAGGTAAGATGTGTCCACTATCAACACTCAAAGATGACGTGAAATCAATAGGATGGGACCACGAGGTGGGCTTCACCTTTAATCATTAGTGACAAAGGAGATGGCAATGATATTCAGCAAGTGATCCGGTCTTAAGTACCAGTATTGGGGCTTTAAATACAAGGATTAGGATTACTGTAAGCAGAGGGAAATATGCCAGTAATGCTGGATTCAGAATCTAGAGTATTTCAGAATGCTAAGAATCAATTGGCAAGAGTTCAACAAATCTCAACTAATTGGCTCTTCTCAAGATGCACTTCCTCGTTTGTACAAAGAGAAGGAAAGCGGGAATAGATAATACCTCCCATCTCGTTTCTTTGATCTTATGTACGTCACTTCTTCATTTGGAAATCCTTTGGAAAATGCTTACTTGGCCAGTTTACAACAGAATTGGCAAGTAGCTAGTTCCATCATGAAAATGAGGTAATACACAGTCTTGGTGAGTGAAATGGAATTGAGAAAATTGGTACTTTTCTTGGTGCATCTGATTAGGCCAAGATCAAATCGTCAAAAAAGTTATACTCTAAATGTAAACTGACCCCACATCCTGAAAAAAAATATACACAACCATGGATTTTATTGAAATTTAATTTCACCAATTTCAATACTGTGCAGGTACAGAAACTCTTATCACACTCCTATAATAGTGTCACGTTCATCACCAACAGGTGCTTGGTATTCTACATGATAACCCTTATGCCATTTTTAGCCATCTCATCATAGAGTTCATGCACACTGTGGGCATTCACACTGCAAGAAAAAACACAGGGTTTTCCCTGCATTCCTGAGTTTCGTCAGAAGTTGCTCAACTAACCATAAACACCACAACAAAACATGGATAAACAAATCAACCTCTGGGTTTTTTTTTTTTTAAAGTGCCGGCCTAAACTCGCCAGTTTTTAAGGTGTAAATGCTGGTTCTCTTTTATATAAGTGATGAATTATTCAGGTTTTGCTCACATAATTGTCCTCACTGCCATGCTATCGCATGCAGAGCAGCGGAAAAGTGGTGCATGCGCACAGCTCACACACACACACACACACACACACACACAAAATAATAATAATCAAACACCCAGTAGATGGTAAATTATAAAACTTATGTTTTTTCAACTTGTTTTTTCTGAAATGTAAATGGCCTACTGACTAGAATTCAAGCTTGGTTTGATGTCAGACAGTGAGATAAATAAGAGCCTATCTCTCTAGAGACCAATCATTACATTATCTGTCATCATCCAAACGATTTCATCTCATTCCTCATCAGCTGGCATTGTGCCAAACATCACTCCTATCATGATCAGGTTACAGGGATGAGAGGAGTGAAACAGAAGACAGAATAAAACCAAAAACAAGCACTACGTGAAGTTCAAGTTACCAAGCAATAAAGAGATATAAAGAGAAATAATAGAAGCCAAATAAAAAGACCCAATGTAACACAAAAGACCCTCATGAAATTTTTTACATGTAGGAGGATGATAAAAAGACAGGGTACAATAAATAGGACATGGTCAAAGAAGTATAACAATTAATTGGATATGATGGACAATTGATATGAATAATAATGCTACATGGATATTAAAAATAGTAATAGAGTGTTTTCTTCTTTTCTTCACTTTTTAATATCAATATGTGATAAAACACTGGTTCCTCGCAAGAAAATCAGTCGAAAGACTGAGGTTTTATAAGCAAGTTTAAAGAAATAACAGATTTGGCATTTTGATTTTCTTTTCACAATCAGTGAGATTAAAACTCACTACATGACAGACCCACTGGAAAATAACTAAAAACCTAAAAGAGCCGGATCAAAAGCAGAGCTCTCAAACATGAAGAGATTACCAACAGTAGGTGGCGCTGTTCAAAACAGAGACACCCTACACATTGCACATAGGTGAATAGAAAGTTGTATACTCTGAACACAAGATGGCAGTATTGCAGTATACTTCACATGAAAGACAGAGTACTTGCCAGGTGTGTATGAATTTTATATAAGAATAGCACACACAACTTTTGGAAATAACTGTGCATTCTCAGTGTTTGCTCCTTGAGAAAATAGAGTCATTGGCAAAAGCTGGACCTTACCATTGGTACCAACTGCCTCAAACCATTTACAACATTTCTTCTTTTGTTATAAGTGCCCTCAAGATCGATTAGTTAGATCTTAAAAGAGTAAAAATTTAATTATAAACTTGTATGTATCAAATTTTGATATTTGACTTTACATCCATTTATACAATTGTATTGTAGTTATGTTTGTGACTAGCTTTACCACATGTCAAACATTTTTAATTTGTTTTAATTCCATGTACCCTTACAGTGTTTTACATATGTTTGAAGGTACCAGGATCGATTAGCATTCATGCTATTACATGTATGTGGTTCCTTTTATCCTTATATGTTACTGTTTAAGGTTTGTGTTTTTGGCTCCTTTTTGGCTCCTTTGACTTTTATACATATTTCTCACTTTATTCCACTGATTTAACACTAAATGTTGAATGGTAGGCATTACAATTTGGACTCACCTGTGCTAATAACCGTGTGCTGTAGCGTAGAATAGGCCTGAGATTAGAGAACAACAATCGTTTATGGTACGATGATAATGAAGGTAGTTGACTGCAAAGAAGAACAAATGAAAAATGAAATGGTTAAATGTTAAAAACATGTTTAAAAAAACATTCTCAGATCAGGCACATAAAATCTCACTATGAACATGACTGACAAAGAAAGTGGACAAAATATACAGTTCCTCAGGTAGACAAAGGAACATCCCTTCACTGTTATTATTTAAAAATGTGTAGAACAGGTGTCACATGCATATTCACCTTTTAACATAATAGCAGTGAAGGGATGTTCCTTTGTCTACCTGAGGAACTGTATATTTTGTCCGCTTTCTTTGTCTGTCATGTTCATAGTGTCTATAGTAAATAAATATAATATGCTGTCTGTTCAAAAGCAGAAGGGCATTAATTGTGTGTTAAATTATATATGAGTTAACACCCTTCTGGCTTTAGCAGACAGTTTGATGCTTACTGGTTTTTACTTAGGCCTTTGATAAGGAGTATGAAATTCAGCACATCAGAGATAACAAATGTTTATCTTTGTTTGTTCAAAAATATCTTTCTTCATACCATGATATTAACATGATTTAATACAGGAGAAAGAGTGAGAAAGAAAAGGAGTGAGAAAGCAAAGGAGGAAGAGAGAAAAATGAAGATAGGAAGAGAGAGAGAGAGAGGGAGCGAGAGAGAGGAAGGGCAGGACAAAAGAGGAGGGAGAAAGAGAAAAAAAAGGCATGTCTTCAGCATTGTATTCCATCAGCTTGAGAACCAGTTTGTTAACTGATATATTCAGTTTTTAAAAAAGAAAAAAGAATCAGATACACAAAAGAGGATGCAGTATCTACAGCAAAAGACACAGAATTGAGAATTCACCCCCCCCCCCAAACACACACACATACACACACATACTGCATGGAGAAGGGTCACAAGGGGAGGGGATCGAGGTTTAACTAATAAGAAGTTAATACAAATCTGCAGACGTGTATCCCATTTACTTTACAACCAGTTTGTTAACTGATATTTTCATTACCTACATATTCAATAGGATTTTCTATAAAAAGAATCAGACACGCAATAGAGAGCATGGAGTCTGTAAAGAAAAAAGACAGATAATTTACATGTCCATACCCTTCCTATGCTGTATGGATCGAGAGGGCTCAAAAGGAGAGGGGGTCAAAAGGAGAGGGGGTCAAAAGGAGAAAACTCAAAAGAAGCATAACAAAGCATTCCTATTTCTGCATTTGAAAGGCATGTGGATATCTACAGGAGGGATGAGCTGGTGCGCCAGAAAAGGAACCCAAATCATGAAAGAAGAGTATTGTTGGTGAATTCCTCCACATTAATATCGTGATTCAGCTTTTTGAGTCATCCAGCTTGGTTTTGGTTTCAGGGAAAGTTAATTTGCTACACTCCTTGCTGTGACCCACGCTCGTAAATTTGAATTCTGAACAAAAATAGTGGTATTCTGGGAGTAAATGTCACATTTGATATCTGAAAACTATCTTAGAGGAAGGACAAGGGACAAAGAAGTCTTTTTGAGATATTTTGGTGAAAACTTTAACAAGTGGTACTTGACAGTATAGGAAAGAGATACATTATGTATGTCAAGCACAGTTTGGATGGGACGTGAAAGAATTTAAAGTACTGTAACTAAATCTGCTATAATTTACCCCCTGTCCACACACAACATTTTCCGTGACTAATCATGATTAGCTATACCGTTTCGCGATAGTGATACCGTTTCGCGATAGTTTTACGACCAAAATTGTAGGTATGGACGCTCACTAACGATACGTCGTATAACGAAACTAGTCTAACGAAACGCAGGTTTGGGCATCGTTTCGAACTGAAACTCGATAAAGAATCACGCCTAATCACGGAAAATGTTGTGTGTGGACAGGGGGAGTGTAACTAGTGTAACTAACTGGGCGGGGCTTAACGTGACCTCGAGCGAAATGAGACCAGACCTCTTATCACTATCGCGAAACTCTATAAAGAATCACGGAAAATGTTGTGTGTGGACAGGGGGCATTTTATACGATGATTCTTTAGTGACGACGTTTCCTGTGTGTGGACATCCTGGAATTTATACGATGATTCTTTATACGACGTATCGTTATAGAGTTTCGGGATAAATTGTTTTGTGTGTGGACACGCTGTCAGACAAACTATATAAAGTATTTGTAATTATGCCCTGCATTCAGTGAATTGCCAGATATCAGACCTTTCTAGTATCTGAGTGCTAGAGGAAGAAATCAATTATGTAACTATATCTGAATTTTTGAGAAAAAAGACCAAAAAACATGCTTGAAGAAAGAAAAATAATTCTTCACCCCTCCGACAAAATTCAAGCCAATGATTTCTCTAAGATCAAATACGGTACAAAGATTAGAGTACAATAGCAAATTTCCATTGCTTCATTTTTTTCATTATTTGTTGAAAGGAAGATCAAAACACTTCTTTGAAAAATACATGTCAGTGTACATGTCCTACATGTATGCTGAAATCCTAACTGTAATTTACTTTAAACAAATTAGGTTCATGTCAATTAGCTGAATCCCTTCAAACATGGTATATATTTAGAGAAAATTTTGCTAAAACTGAGTTCGGTACAGTCTTTTCCGCAATTGGCTCTTGTCAGTGTATTTGGTTTAACAGAAATATCTGTTCAAAATCAAAACATTATTTTTTATATGAAGATTGGTTGGACAAAGGAATTGTCTATATCAGTGATTTACTCAACCCTCCCCACCCAGGTAATAAACTTTTTGAAGAGCTTATTCTGGATTATGATATTGGTAAAAAAGACAGGCGGAAATACAATTTTTTATTGAGAAATATACCAAATGACTTGCTAGTCACTTCTGACTTAACCCCTGACAAAATATTTGATGACGTTAAAACTAAGCTCTTGAAAACTCTAAAAATTCCAAAATATGCATACAGTACAATGCTAGAGTCATGTTCTCCAGAACGTCAAATCTTATTTTGGAATGACCTCCAAGAACCTGACGAAGTTGATTGGGAAAAGACTCATGTGAATAACTTTAAATGCACTATAAGTACTCGTATTCGCTCTTTCTACTTTAAGTTATTTCATAGAGCTATAGGTTTGAATGAGTTTTTGTATAAAATTAAAAGGAAGGTCTCCCCAATTGTTCATTTTGTAATACTGACCCTGAGACATATAGTCACATTTTTGTTGAATGTCCTAATGTTAAGCCTATTTGGGATGAAACTGTTAAAGCTATTATTCAGAAAACTAATAAACCTCTAAATGTCTCAACATTTGAAAAAATGTTCGGTTGCGAATCTGATAGGTTCCTTACATATTTGTTTCTTTTACTTAAATATTATATTTATATATGCAAATTCCAAAGCAAACCACCAAACTTCGAAGGTTATAAATGCTATATTACGGCCAATAAAGAACTCGAGTATTGTATTGCCAAAAAAAATAACAAACTCCCTATTCATTTTCGGAAATGGAGATTTAACATTTGAATATGTTACCTTTGAGCTCCTTTGCAAATTGTATTTTTGCTTTTAACATGCTTTAAAAAAAAAAAAAAATACCCTGTACAATGTACTATGTACCATGTTTGTTATATAAGTAACGCGGAAAACACCTAACATGTCTTTTTTTATGAATGAAAATCATTTTGTCTTATTCTTCTGGCGACAATTCTATGTTAACATTTTTGTATTGCTGCTTTTTTTTTTTTTTTTTTTTTTTTTTTTCAAATTGATTTCTTTGATTCATGTGTTGATTTGTATCTTGAAAACCAATAAAACACATAAAAAAATAAAAAAAAAACTGTAATTTACTTGAATGATACACCAAACATCAACAACTTATTTCCCATATTTCCTGGTAAAACATCAAATATATTCTTTTCACATTGACTGTAAAATGCAGTATCAATAACTCCTTCAAAAGCTTTCCTGCCAAGTCTATAGCCAATTCTTTCACCTGACATGAAGAAAACTGCATGAATTTTGCAATATAAGAAATAAAAAATAATCCGCCACTTTTAAAGTAACAACAACCCACACCTCTAACTCCTAAACACCACAACTTGTCACATTGGCTCATTAGTTTTTTATCAAATGCAAACATTGTACCGATAAATATAATTGACTAACTATAAAATCACTCCTTTTGAATCATAAATCATCAGATTATATGCTCCATTTATTATTGAGATGTTATCGTAGCTCCACTTATAGTAGAGTTATCACATTCCAATCAGAAATGACAGATTCCTGGCACCATAATGCAATGTTTTCATTTCCCACAAACGCATTATGTACATTTGAAGTACTTTTGATTTTCAGCAGTTATTTTTTCTGATCAAATTCTGACAAGAAGTTTATAGATGAAAGAGCATTCTTGTATTAATTCTAGACCCTTTTTTTTAGGTCCTAGGGCTAACAATTTCATATTCTGATTCTCAGCAGTTATTTTTTTCTGATCAAATTTGGACGAGAAGTGTATAGATGAAAGAGTGTTCTTGTATTAATCCAACATTTTTTCAGGTCCTAGAGTTATGAATCTTTGACAAAGATATAATCTAAATATGTTTTAACTAAGAATTTCTGTTGAATTCTGTATATAGACCTAGAGTGGACCCAGGAGAAAACATAATCTGATTCTTATACATGTAGTCTCTCTTAAGAATCATTTTCTCCTTATTTAATAGTATATAAATAATACATGTTTGCGAGTACATTTAGTGAATATGCACTGCACGCAGGTTAAGTCACATTAGGAACGAGACTTGTCGAGTTCATTGTCCGTCTCATATGCACGTCTCATATGTTTATAAGAGTGGTCTACAATATGAGTATAAAGTCAAGAAATTCATGGTTGTTATCACCAAAATGGACTTTGACGCTTTTCATTGGCCACATTTTGGAACCGAATTTGTATTAAATATCAAATTGAGCAAAGAATATATAGTAGCAAACGGTAGACTAACAATGATGATGGTGGTGGTGGTTATTTTACCTGACTGCTAAGAAAGCATAAATGCTTGTAAGTACATGTAAGTAACCAGACGGCCGACGGCTTAAGATCCTCTCCGAGGGACCTGGTAATGAGGATTAATGCCTTACCATAGGGCACTAGCGCATCGCCTTGGTTTCGAACCTGGGTCACCGGATTACGAGACCACTGCTCTACCAACTGAGCTATCGCGCCTGATAATATATAGATTTCATTAGGTGCATATATATTTGTCTTTTTTTATGTGCTTCCATTATAACCCTGGATATTAGCTATTACCAACACTTGGTTTCATCCCATTATTTACTGGAGTAAACCCTGTAAGCAACAAACTACTTAGCCCCTAAACTCTTAAAATAGCCCCTTTTAATAAAAAGTGCCACTTTAAAACCTCTATCAATGAGTTTCCTAGTGCATTTAACTATGCAGTAAATTCTTTCTTTTTTTCTCACTGAATCTTCCCTTAGTCTACATGACTAAGACTTCAGGTAAACTCTCTTTTTATTTCAAAAAATTTGTGTTTGAGAAAAAATTCATTTGTCCTCGAAGCAAAGCTGGGATCATTTAATAAGAATGGGCTTAATACAGTGTACCGGTAGTAGAATGAATATCTCTAAATAAGTGATAAGCCGTGATAAAAACAGGGATAACTTTACTATGAATCTACACTGCAACCCTACAGATAATAATGACAATCACAATGACAAAATAGGCCAATGAATATATGAAATGTCAATGAGCTCACCTTCAGTTTGTTTTTTTGCATAAATGGGCTTAAAAGCCTTTAATGGTGTAAATATCTCAAACTGAATGAGAAGAGGCAATAAAAACCTGGGATTATATTACTATACACTGTAATCCTACAATAACAAAGACAAAATTGGCCAATATTGAATACTGAATTATGGGGAGCTCACCTTAGTGGTTCTTCATAGGTATTGAAGTAGCTGCGTAGGAGATCACAGTAATCCCGTTGAGAGATGACAAAGTTGAGGAGGAGAGCTAGACAGCGGTCGGTGGTACCTGGGAGAGAGAGAGAGTGAGAGAGACATTGAGTGTATATCCATGATTACTCCAGAATATAGGCCTATACATTTATACAGCATTAACTTAATCCTGGATTTAGCTCATGCTGCAATGAGTTATAAACCTTTAGGTATTAAAGTCAGGAACCCAGTGACTTTTAAAAGCCGATCTCCTGTCTGATTATCATTATATTTACGATTGCAAATCTAAATTTAAAAATGTTTTTTCAACGGTTTTTTATCACACTACAGTTGTACAGTCTATTGGGGAAAATGAGTATGGTAAAACCAGTTGCTCAAAGATTTTTACTTTGAGGCACTTCATGATCATTTTGAAGCGCAATTTTTTTAGAGCTTCAATATAACACTATATCACAGACACTGATAACACGTAGGGCCATGCATCTCTGATTTAACATTGTTAAACGATGCCTTTAAACACGGCAGGAGGACAATGAAAAATAATATTATTCATGATGACAACAAAGAAAAGGATCATGAAAATTGTGATGATAAAAATAGCAACAAAAACAACAATAATGATTAAGGCATTTATATATTCAACAACAAGGCCATTTTCGTAATGTAACCAAATTTGATGCATACAGTACATGTACCGTATGTGAATTGCCTCAATACAAATTCCAAGTATTTCAGTCGTCTCTTATGAATAATTGTATTTCAATACTCGGTACTCAGAATACAAAGTGCATATATAACGTTTTGTTAATTAGAACAAGGCTGCACGCATAATGTTTTTTCTACTTAGCAACAACTGACGTATGCAATTCGCGTTCTGACTATTGAGATGCAATTATTTGTAACAGTGGGATGAAATCATTTATATCGAGGCACTTTACAAAGAAGTATGCATTAAATTTTGTAACTATTACGAAAATGGCCACATAAAGCATGCTGATATGTGCTCAAAATGATTTATATTCTTGAACAAAATAATGATCAATGGGCGTTTTTTTCGTTTGTAATTTTTTTTTAACAAGTGCATGGAAAATCATTAGAGCTTGTACTCAACAGTGATCAAGTGGCATTAAGCACCTGTTTCATTACGTCACTATCCTATTATGATAACCATATTTTACAAGCAATAATTATATTATATAGAATGGCTATGAGTGTGATACAAGAATATATTGCTCGAGCTAGGACAATATTAAACGAGTCGGAGACAAGTCCAATATTGTCATAGCGAGAGCAATATATTCTCTTATCACACAAAAACAAAGCCATATTATATTATTATTATTATCTATAAAAAGACTATATCAGGCTGACTAGCGAAATAACAAAATGTAAATATGGCTTTGTTTTCATGTGATATCGATATGATATCGATATCGTTAGTTGAAGGTCCCGGATGACTGAGCAATACGAAAACAATATTGGTCAGTCATCCGGGTACTGCGCTACAGACATTGAATACACTGATTTATTGCACCCCTTAGAAGCCTTTATAGATATTAATAATATTTAACAACAACCTACCTTCTACAGGTATTTCTAGCAGCCTCTCCTCAAACTCGATCTCTCTATTCCTGAGTAAAAAAGCCTCTGCATCCTCGTTGAGTAGCGCTCTCGTTGAGGCTAGACGGACCCTGCAGTCTGGAAGCTTGTATTCCATGATGGCCGCTGCCAACAGGTCTCGCACCCGCATGCCGTCCACACACTGCAGCTGTTGCAATAAAACAAAAGGATGAGTGGAATTTTAGAGCATATAGTTTGATGGATCATCTTGATTTCAACATCAACAGTTTCCAGATTAGGATTTACAAAGAAGCATCACTATCTTGACTTTCCTTCAAAAACTTATCAGATTTTTAATAGTATAACTTCATAATTAAATCACTGTTTATCTTAGGCATGTGTAATGTTATTCATCTTTTGTTGTATTGTTATATCTATGTTATCATGCTTGATACATTATGTTTTAGTTGTTATTATTTTACTCAAACTCAAGTACATTTGCTCTCATATACATGTACAGGTGTAAGGTTTGATGAGAGCCATAGCAGGGAATCAACTCTTTGTAAAAGTATGTGAGCTATCATCTTTTGGGTCTTAGCAAAACTCTCAGCCAAGCTTCAACCCTGCCCCAAATATCCCTCCTCTTCCCATTCTCTATAGAAAAAAGATGCATTCACATTTGCGAGCACAGGAAGGTCTAACAAGTATACATTCTAGGCACAGCAATGTTGAGAAATGCAGTAATAATGGTGTTTTAACAACTAAATTGTGAAGATTGATACCTAACAAGAGTTCAGACAAGTAACCTCAGAATTGTCTCAGTCTTTCTTGACTTAGCCATTAAGCAATTTCAATAACAAACACTGTAATATCGTCTCAGGTTAAATAAGTCTTGAATTTTCTGTCTAGCATTGAGTACAAATTTCAAGATTAAAATTGCTATTAGGTCAAATACCGTAGAATTTCAACAAAAGTCTCCAAAAGTTCACTTCCTTCCAAAGTTTCTGAGAAGAGCTTTAGAAAGCTAAGGGTGTATAAATACATCCAGTAAAGTAAACATTATCTAAAGGTAAGTAAATCAACTTTGCTGGCATAGAAAGGAGAAAGGAATGCATAATTCGAGAGCTTGGGGCTCAAGAATATTTGCAACGGCTTTGGTTTTCATATTCACCCCAAGGGCAACCAGTTACATGAACATTCTGTACCATTCACACAGGGAGCAATTAGTGAGATCAAAAATTGAATTTATTTTGGATTCATAATCATACATGTATAATCTCACTTTTTGCCATTGGTTTGTTTGTTTTACCCGACTGCTAAGAAAGAATGTGTGTGCTTGTGCTTGCAAGTAAGCCACCAGAGGACTGACAGCTTTAGGTCCTCTCTGAGGGACTTGGCAATGAGGATTAATGCCTTACCAAAGGACACTAGCACATCAATTTGCTTTCAAACCCAGGAGCTCAAGAGTTACGAGGCCACTGCTCTACCACTGAGCCATTGCGCCTCCATGAGAAAAGCATAATTAATGAGATGCTGATCTCAATTCAAATTCATTGTAAATACAGGTGTTTATCTGCTTGGGGGACAGAGACCTTCTCGCAATAATTTGCAATGTACTTTGGTAGCACAAAAACGTTCGTGGAAATAAGGTGTAAAAGAAGAAAATCAAGATATCGGTAAAATAATGCAGACAGGCAGGAGAAAAAGAAACAAGTATAATTCAAAACACTCCTTTTCCTTTTTTTTGTGGATAGACATATTATACTCCCATAACGATATTTTTCATCTTGTAATGGTTACCTTTTTCTTCTTACCAGTTATCAAAAAACAATTATTAGTCTTTCCATGGGTATATAAACTTATATTTCTACATTCACCACAGCCTTTTGTTGTGCCGCGAGTTCCAACTACTCCGTGTATGCTAAAAAAATACAATGACTTTCTATTTTTTTAACGTAATGATGGATGACTATCTAACGTAATCTACCATTCTATTCACTCAGGCCATTCAAATTTACATCTCAAAAGGCAATACAAAAGCATTAAATTGGTTAGTATTTCTATTTCATAGAAAGTGAAATTGATAGAAACACAAAGGTTGTGGGCCGCACCAAACGTGAAGTGAGTGAGGGATTATCTGTCGCTGGAGGTGGACGAGAAACACTCTATTTTGCGGTTATCAGACAGTAAATAAGGTGATTTATCTCAGTCTAATTCCATTATTCATGAGCATTTATAGGCTCTTTAATATAAGACTCCTGGTTTTAATGAAATGTTATTTTCCTGAAGCCTAAAGACATACATATATCCTTGGTATGTTGACATAATTATATCCATAATTGTTATAATCGTTTAAGTGAAATTGCACAATTTAAAAGTGAAAGAAACGCTAGAAGCTTTTTAATAGTTTCATAGTAGACATAGTAGACACTTGCTTTAGTACAAGTACATTAGGCTTTGTCTCTCTCTCTCTTTAAAATTTGTATTGGACTGATAACAAAATTCCATTTATGCATTATTCATACATCAAATTACAGAAGATCCATGTTTTTAAAGATCTTACATACAAATATATCTCACTCTGTAGATTGTAATCAGCACTGTTTAGCAGAGAATGTAACATCTATTTTGCTAAGTCTCTGACTTCATGCAAACACCAGTTAGCAAGAGAATCTACCGTACTACATATGTAAATCAGTTAAACCTGATCCTGGGTCTAAGAAAACATTTAAAACAACAAAAACTTAGACTAACTGTCTTTCTTAAACCTGATTTTGAAATTTGAATAAATGTTTAACTGGCGTCAGATTAAATTAATAGTAGAAAATACACTTTACATGTATGGGCCCATGACTGCAGCATATTGACAATATGGTCACATGACTTCCTTCTCGCTTTTCAAGGTTAATTCTTCATCTTTCAAGAGAAGACAAAATCAAGTCAAATATTATCGAGCCAAGATTATGGTCTCTTATACGGAATGTCAATATCCCTGTGTACATGTTTGTACACATCTGATGATTTACTTTACATGCGGACACTGTACTAAAGTGGTATTTGCATTCAGAGTCGAGCGGAACTACATTTTTTCATCTTCTTCAACATACATGATGATTACATGTATTATGTCAACAGAAGGAGTACTTCAATGTCATCTGTTGTCTATTAGACTGTCAATGACTTATGAGCACCTGTCAGTTCCGTGGTAGTAGCCACTTCTTTCTTGCGATCATTTCTTAGAACGATCGCAAAGACTTTCGAGAAATCAACCAAAGGGCAATAATTTAAAAAAACATTTGTACTGCCAATAAAAAATCGTGTTCAGAATATGTGATGTGTCATTGTATATTTGCACAAGGCTACTGGAATCGCCTCAGGTTGACTTTTTAAAGTCTTTTCAGGCACAAATGTTTCTCCAAATAAATAGAAAAGTGTGTTGTAGAATATGTTGGCTATGGCTACGGACTACTTTTCATATTTTCTCTGGACAGGTCTGTATATATTCAAGTAATTTTCATCAGGGTGCAGCAATAGCATGTAGCACCATTAGGTGAGGAAGGTGCTAAGTTGTGAGTCCGGTCCCTGGACTATTTTTACCGGCAACATGTACATTAACACAGCAAAAGCAGAAAGCTTCCCTTGAAACCCAGCTAAATTAACCTCTTGGGAGCAATTGTTCTCATGTGTTTAATTGCAAGTTAGATTCAGAGGCCATCAAGTAGTAATTAACTGGTTAAAGGTAATACAAAGTTTTGGTATGGGGTCATGAATTTGGTTCAATGAACATATTGGAAGCATATGCGATCCTACAATATTCAATGATCGTTGTCGCGGTTGAAATCAAGTCTAGAAATTGTAAATAATAAACTCTTTAAGTTGTATACATGTAGCTCCCTCTCAAGGTCAAGATATTAATTAAGCTATAAAACAATGTTTCTTGACTAAAATCGACCAATTAGCTATTCCTGTTTGGAAATAATATATAAAAACTACATATTCTGAAATTTTCATGGTCGCAGCTACCATTGTACAGCCGTAGGCACTACTTGAAATTTAAAAGGGGCTACATATTCTAGTGCTTATAATACATCCACAGGGGCATCCAAATATATCAAAATTGTAAAGAATCACTATCCAGCCAATTTTCAAAATTTCCCAAAACTTTGTATTACCTTCAAGAAGGCAGATCAAAGAACAACATCAAACTGTTGATTATACCATGGACCATACCACAAATTATATCAACTGAAATCAATCAGAAGATGTAAGGTGGTTCAGTCATGCAAAAATCTTGGTCCCTAGATCTTTACGAAGCACAATAGAGAAAAACAATAAAGGTCTCGGAATTGAAATGACCGCAAACGGATTAGCGTGAATACTTGAGAGGCCTTGAATGAAGTACAACCATTTACAGGTAAACATGCCCAAAGACCCAGCAAAATCTCATTATGATTGATTTCTGATTGCAAATACATGGTTGCATGGACCATTTTTCTGCAAATATTTAGGGAATGCCTTACAATCGTTACGATATCAATACCGGTACATGACTTACAGTATTCAACTTGTACCTACCCATGTCAAAATGTAAAATAGTAATCTTTATTATAAGCCTACAGAGAGACCTAATGCTTGTGGTTCAATGCAAGATATATCATTAGTGTGGCTAATTGTATCCCTTAGGAAACTTGGAAAGTTAAGTAATAATTCATAATCACCATGCAAACAAGTCTCTCCTAAATAAACATTTGTAGACTACCATTATGTTACTAATACAATATAGGTATTATTTTATATGTGTAGATACAATGTATGAATAATCAATTGTCACATAAAAGTTCTGATTTATTACTGGATATCTCTGAGATTTTTGCTATGTCATATAAATCTTATTACACCTCAGCCTCCAAAGGACTGACTGACATCACATCATCCTATAATGTTTGACAGAAATAGGGAATTTTCCTGATGTGAAATTGAGCCTTGCATATCATTGTGTGACTACTGCAAAATGTGATCATAAAAGAATAGGCATATGTGCCGATAGACCTTGAAATAATATACCTGTATGACCATGAAATAATTTTGATACCAATATGTTAATGTGACCTAATTCCACAGATGACAGACAAGTTAATCTGACTATACATGTAGTTTGTCTGAGTTTTAATTATTCATTGAATAAGGCACATGAAGCAACATTTGTAG